CAAAATAAAAAAATATGCCCAAATAAAAATACATAAAAAAAAAAAAAACAACAAAGTAAATTATAAACCAAAAAAATAAAACAAATTTATTTGAACATACCAAAAAAAAGTAAAAAAACACAAAGAAATCAATGAAAAACACAAATTATAAAAAATAAAAAATTAAAGAAAACAAAAAGTAACAAAAGTACTTGGATAAAAAAAAAAGATAAATATGTATTGTGTTATGTTGTTTAAAAACTAAAGTAAAATATTTTTGAATTGTACATTAAAAAAAAATTTGTAAAAATGTAAAAAAAAAATAAATGTATGTAAAAATATAAATTTTATGTAAAATTTATAAAAAAAAAAAAATGTTAAACAATTAAATATAAAAATGTAAAAAAAAAAACGTATTAAAATTTGTTATTTAAAAAAATATTTTTTTATTTTGATTTAAAAAAAAAAAAAACATTTAGTGTTTGAAAAAAAAAATAAAAAAAAAATTTATTAATGTTTTTATAAAAAAAAACCCAAGATTATATAGGTAAAACAAAAAAAAATTTGTATTTAGAAATATTAAAAAACAAAAAACTATTTTTTTATTGGAGAATTTTAAACTAACATTTTAAATTTTTGAAAAAAATAAAAATTTAAACAAAATTATATTTTTTTTATATATCAAATTTATTTTTTTAAAAAATTTTTTATTTTAATTTTTAAAATTAAAAAAAAAACCCCTAACAAAATAAAAAAATAAAAATAAATAAAATTCCCTAAAAAAATATAAAATACCAATGACAAGGTCCCCTAAAATTTAACTAGAAATTGTAAAAAATTTGAAATATTTAATATTAATATGTATTATACAACAATATCAAAAAACAATATATATTTAATAAATGGATATAAAGCCATAAATTAATATCAATAAATATATATAAATTTTTTTTATGAAAAATTGAATTAAAAAAAAAGAAAAAATAAAAAAAATAAATAATAAACAATCAGAAAAAAATTTACAAAATTATTAACAAAAAAAAAATTTAATTGAACAACAAATTGAAAAGAAAAAAAACCATACTTTAAAAAAACATTAAATAACCAAACAAAACTAAAATAAAAAAAATAGAAAAAAAAATTTAATTTTTAAAAACAGCAATTAAGTTAAATTTTTAAACAAAAACAAAAATAAAACAAAAAAAAAAATAATAACAAAAAAAAAATATAAAAAAAGAACACAAACATTTTTAAAACAAACCCAATAAGAAAAAAAAAAGTCTTAAAAAATAACCAAAACAAAAATACTCATATTAAAAAAAATAATGTAAACACCTTACACATAAACAACAAAAAAAATAAAATAAAAAAAAGAAAAAAAAAACAAAAAAAAAAAAAAAAAAAAAAAAAAAAAAAAAAAATATTAAAAAAAAAAAAAAAAAAAAAAAAAAAAAAAAAAAAAAACAAAAAAAAAAAAAAAAAAAAAAAAAAAAAAAAAAAAAAATAAAAAAAAAAAAAAAAAAAAAAAAAAAAAAAAAAAAAAAAATAAAAAAAAAAAAAAAAACAAAAAATAAAAAAAAAAATTAAAAAAAAAAAACAAAAAACAAAAAACAAAAAAAAAAACCGACTAAAAAAATAAAAAACAAAACAAAAAAAAAAAAAAAATTCCGCAAAACAAAAAAAAAACAAAAAAAAACCAAAAAAATAAAAAAAAACAAAAAAAACACAAATACAAAAAACAAAAAAAAAAAAAAAAAACAAAAAAAAAAAAATAAACAAAAAAAAAAAAACAAAAAAAAAAAAAAAAAAAAAAAAAAAATCCCCAAAAAACAAAAAAATAACAATAAAATAAAATAAAAAAACCAAAATAAAAAAAAACAAATAAAAATAAAAAAAAAAAAATAAAACCCCAAAAAAAAACAAAAAAAAAAAAAAAAAAAAACCTAAAACTATAAAAAAAAAAAAAAACCAAAAACAAAAAATAAACACAAAATAAAAAAATAACACACAAAAACAAAAAAAAAAAAAAAAAAAATAAAAAAAATACTAAAAACCAAAAAAAAAAAAAAACAAAAAAAACAAAAAAAAAAAAACCAAAAAAACCTAACAATAAAAAAAAAAAAAACACCAAAAAAACAAAAAAACCAAAAAAAAAAAAAAAACAACACCAATACAAAAAAAAACCAATACAAAAAACAAACAAAAAATATAAAAAAAAAAACTCAAACACAAAACAATACACAAAAAAAACCACAAACAAAAAATAAAAAAAAATAAACCAAAATTCAAACAAACAACAAATAAAAAATACAAAAAAAAAACAAAAAAACAACAAAATCAAAAAAAACAACAACAAATAAAACCCCCATGAGCTACTTGAATTCCTGAAGCACGCGTGTGTCTCGATCTGCCATTCCTAATATAGGCTACTTGCATGTAACCGCATTTACAGGCACGGTTTGTAGCATCTTCTTCTAGCTCATATGGCGAGTTCCTTCCTGACAGAAATAGTTACTAATTTACCCATTTTTCCAGTGCATTCTGGCATTTAGGGAGTATCTCCTGTGCTTATCTATCACTCACAAACGCTTTCTAAACGCAATCACACACAGACAAGCGTTGTGTTCTTTATGCAAACCGTAGCTAAACAGACATTTTTTTTTTAACCCTACGTTTATTACCAGATAGTACAGTCTTCCATACGTTCAGACAGTGTCCCGTGTACAAGGGGCCTAACAGTAATCCTGGACACATGATCGAAGGGGATTTACCGCGTGCACAGCTCAGAGGGTTCCTTCCACACCAATCATGTTGTGGTAAGCAATGGTGGCACAACGCACGTTACGCATTAACAAACTGGCACAGTGCTTTGTTGGCACCAACATACAATTTGCCCGACATTGCATATAATGTTAAATTAGATGTTATTAAATCATCAAGATATATGGTGCTGTGTACTATCTTTACCCTTTTTTAAAGGGGTCCTCCAGATTCCAATAAGCCACTGCCCAAATATTTAGGGCAAGCCAGGGTTTGGGGTAAATATAATCCATCTTCTCAATTGCAAGGAACTCTGACCACAAGGAAGTTATAATAGGCATTGGAGCAAAATGAATTGTTTTTACGTTGATACATTTTAATTGATATTTTGTAGCTGTGTGTGTAATGCAAGGTTTAGCTATTGAGCCCTGGAAAGATTTTTTTTATTCCTCAGCAAAGCAGTTAAGGTTAGCCCAGTACACATGTGATCAAGAGCCCAGAGCTCCATCTGCTAGCTGCAGACCGTAATTATGAAACAGTCAAATGTAACATTTCATATTTATCCAGCGTAAAGATGGAAACATTTTCTTTTTTTTTAGTCCTGAACATCATATACCTTCCCTGTTCAGTGTTTTAGGATAGTCTCACCGGTTGATTTGACTTGTTGCGTGACTTGAGCCTTTGTTTCTCAGGTTCTGTGCAGTGGAGTGACACAGGGTGTGATATTAAGGGGGTGGTGGTGACACCGCCAAGTGATAATAAGAGCCGATAATGACATAGGGGAAGAGATGTGATAAAAGGGGAGATGAGTGATGGGAAGGGGGGGGGGGGGAGGGTGTCAGATTGGGATGTGATGGAGAAGCAGTATTAGGTGTGACTGTGTCCCTGGTGGGAAGAGGCATGAGAAGCCACGAATTGCCAGAGAATGTTATATATACATGGGGGTGTGTGTGTGTGTGTGATCTTCCCAATACCGGGAACCTAGAGAGGGGGTGGAGTGTCTGGTGTCTGCAACACACAGCCTGATGCCAAAAATCTAAATTCCTACCGTCATTTTTATGTTAGAATATAGAAAGAAGAATGTGTTTACTTTCTGAGACAAAACAACAAACGTTTTCCTTTAAAACCCCTCTCTGACATCTCCTGTTCCATATCTGCAGTCTCTGACCACCTCCTGTATCTTGTCTGCAGTCTCTGACCCCCTCCTGTATCATGTCTGCAGTCTCTGACCATCTCCTGTAGTATGTCTGCAATCTCTGGCCATCTCCTGTATCATGTCTGCAGTCTCTGATCATCTCCTGTATCATGTCTGCAGTCTCTGACCATCTCCTGTATCATGTCTGCAGTCTATGACCATCTCCTGTAGCATGTCTGCAGTCTCTGACCATCTCCTGTATCATGTCTGCAGTCTCTGGCCATATCCTGTATTATGTCTGCAGTCTCTGACCATCTCCTGTATCATGTATGCAGTCTCTGACCATCTTGAGTATCATATCTGCTGTCTCTGACCATGTCCTGTAGTATGTCTGCAGTCTCTGACCATCTCCTGTATCATGTCTGCAGTTTCTGACCATCTCCTGTGCCAGGTTTGCAGTCTCTGGCCATCTCCTGCACCATGTCTGCAGTCTCTGACCATCTCCTGTATCATGTCTGCAGTCTCTGACCATCTCCTGTATCATGTCTGCAGTCTCTGACCATCTCCTGTATCGTGTCTGCAGTCTCTGACCATGTCCTGTAGTATATCTGAAGTCTCTGACCATCTCCTGCACCATGTCTGCAGTGTCTGACCATCTCCTGTATCATGTCTGCAGTCTCTGACCATCTCCTGTATCATGTCTGCAGTCTCTGACCATCTCCTGTATCATGTCTGCAGTCTCTGACCATCTCCTGTATCATGTCTGCAGTCTCTGACCATCTCCTGTATCATGTCTGCAGTCTCTGACCATCTCCTGTATCATGTCTGCCGTCTCTGACCATCTCCTGTATCATGTCTGCCGTCTCTGACCATCTCCTGTATCATGTCTGCCGTCTCTGACCATCTCCTGTATCATGTCTGCAGTCTCTGACCATCTCCTGTATCATGTCTGCAGTCTCTGACCATCTCCTGTATCATGTCTGCAGTCTCTGACCATCTCCTGTATCATGTCTGCAGTCTATGACCATCTCCTGTATCATGCCTGCAGTCTCTGACCATCTCCTGTATCATGCCTGCAGTCTCTGACCATCTCCTGCATCATGTCTGCCGTCTCTGACTATGTCCTGTATCATGTCTGCCATCTCTGACCATGTCCTGTAGTATGTCTGCAGTTTCTGGCCATCTCCTGTATCATGTCTGCAGTTTCTGGCCATCTCCTGTATCATGTCTGCAGTCTCTGACCATCTCCTGTATCAGGTCTGCAGTCTCTGACCATCTCCTGTACCATTTCTGCAGTCTCTGACCATCTCCTGTACCATTTCTGCAGTCTATGACCATCTCCTGTACCAGGTCTGCAGTCTCTGACCATCTCTTGTATCATGCATGTCTGCAGTCTCTGACTAACCCTGTAGTATATCTGCAGTCTCTGACCATCTCCTGTAATTTGTCTGCAGTTTTCTGACCATCTGCTTCAGTCTGCAGGGGCACTTACATTTTTTTTTTTGGGGGGGGGGGGGCAATGATTTTTAATGGCAGACCTGCTTGTAAGTCCTGTAGAAAAAAAAAAACAGGTCTCCTTCCCTGCTGTAGGGCTGTGCTGTGTGGCAGAGCTGTGTAAATCTCAAAACTGGATGGACTTGTATAAGTCTCTTTAAACGATTGTTCAGCTTGTCCCAGGAGACTTCTCCCCCTATATATAAACCAGCATTACGGCGTCTTTTATTGATCTGTTCCAATCTCGCCATCTCCACAGTGCGTTTCACCTTGCAGCACTGCGCACATTTACAAGCTGTACCGCGCGGAGATGCGCCGTTGTGTATCATCTGCCAGGTCGACATTCTATAGGAAAAGCTATTTTCTCCCCAATGTGTGAACCTGCCTGCTCAGTATTGGAGGAGTCCCTTGAGCCTTGACCTTTAACCTGCCGGTGATGTACAGACACCATCGACCTCCATCACAATGGAGTCTGTGCGCTGAACTCTCCTCCCCGTCCCCCTCCCCCCTCATTCTTCATTTTTGGTTTTAATCATGATTATTTATTAAGGTGTTCTATGGTCTAGTAATTATAACAAATAAATCAGCGGATAATGCGGATCCATTTTATCAGGGGGGGGGATGAGAATCGCTCTGTAAATTGTTATTTTGTTACAATGTGACGCATCTGTCTGAGCCTTGTTTATAGACTGCCCTCTAATGGGGGTTTTAGGGTGTTGCACATCACTCATCTCATGGGGCCCCCTACTGACCCCGGGCAGTGCCCGAGTTTCCAAATGGTCAGTCTGCCCCTGTTCGTCAGTTGAATGTATGTTTTACCCATTCGCTGCCAGAGACATTTTTCCCCTTTGTTTCAAAAAATCATTTTAGACCTGAAGATGGCATAAAACTCCCAAAACACGTTCATGGGCAGCACAGTGGCTAAATGGTTAGCACTTCCGCCTGGCAGTACTAGGGTCGTTGGTTCGAATCCCAGCCACGGCACCACCTGCCTGGAGTTTGCATGTTCTCCCTGTGACTGCGTGGGTTTCCTCCGGGTACTCCCGTTTCCTCCCACACTCCAAAGACATGCTGGTAGGTTAATTGGATCCTGTCTAAATTGTCCCTAGTATGTGTATGTATGAATGTGAGTTAGGGACCTTAGATTGTACACCCCTTGAGGGTTAGGGACTGATCTGAATGTACAATATATATGTAAAGTGCTGTGCAGGGGTGGACTTGGCAACACATGGGGCCCCCGGGCAGTAGGGGATCGTGGGGCCCGTGTCCTCGCCCACACTCAAACGACACCCAAAAAAGCCTATGAAAGGTACCAGGGGCATCTCATGGGGCCACCTACTGATCCCGGACATCTCATGGGGCCACCTACTGATCCCAGACACCTCATGGGGCCACCTACTGATCCGGGGCCCTCGGGCAGTGTCCGAGTGCTGGAATGGTCAGTCCGCCCCTGGTGCTGCGTAAATTGACAACGCTATAGAAGTACCTGAAATTAATGTTCTATTTTCTAAAGGCAGACAGAGGTCGTTCCAATTTATTTATGTCCTGCGATATTAGCACACTTTTTTAGGAAATTGTAAAAGATGAGGGTAACGCTGAGTAAATAGATGCCCAACATCTTGTAAAGCGCTGCGCAAACTGTTGGCGCTATATAAATCCTGTATAATATTAAGTCAAACCTTAAATTTGCAAACATCCGTGAACCTCTGGTTCACATCTGTACGGGTGGTGCCGCTGCGGATCAGCACAAAAACCCGTGCAACCGCACCACCCGCACAGAGGAATGCGGACCCGCGGGCTGGTTCCATTCACTCTAATGGCACGCTGAAACGCACTTTAAATCGCAACCGTACTGGGAACCGAAGTTCCCATGTGGGCTGCGTTTTCCGAGGAAGTGCAGGGACTTCTTCCCTGCTTGTTTCGGGGCACGGGAGTCCATTCAAATGAATGGGCTCTCGTGCCCACACAAAACGTGGCCCGCAGGAACATGGAGATGTGAACCTAGCCGAAATGTGAACAAACTTTCGTACCCTATAATTTTCTATAGGTGACGCTTTAAAATCCCCCCATTAGGTCATCAATTTGCCAATACGAAGCTTGCCAATTTGTAAATGCATTCCAAAAATGTAGATTTTGTATTTTTAAAAGACATAAAGTATATTTGAAATTTATTTTTAAAAAAATATATTTTCATATATTTTTGTAAAAAAAAAAACACATTTCAACATGCAGTGCATGTATATATATATATATATATATATATATATGTGTGTGTGTATATGTTTTGTGTGTGTATGTATGTATATATTGTGTGTGTGTGTGTTGTGTTTGTGTGTGTGTGTGTGTTTCATTGTGTGTGTGTTTTGTGTGTGTGTGTAAATATATATGTGTGTGTGTGTAAATATATTATGTGTGTGTGTGTGTGTGTGTTTTGATGTAAATATATATGTGTGTGTAAATATATATGTGTGTGTGTGTAAATATATATTTGTGTGTTGTGTAAATTAAATATATATAACAGTGTGTGTGTTGTGTAAATATATATATGTGTTGTGTGTAAATATATATATGTGTGTGTGTGTGTGTAAATATATATGTGTGTGTGTGTGTAAATATTTATAATATATAATATATATATATATATATACAGTTGCAAGAAAAAGTAATGTGAACCCCTTGGGATTACATGGAGTTTTGCATGAATTGGGCATAAAATGTGCTCTGAACGTCATCTAAGTCACAACAATAGAAGAACACAGTCTGCTGAACATAATACTACACAAACATTAGATGTTGCCATGGTTTAATTGCACATAACATGTAAACATTCACAGTGCAGGGAGGAAAAAGTATGTGAACCTTTGGACTTAATAACTGGTTGACCCTCCTTTGGCAGCAATAACCTCAACCAAACGTTTCCTGTAGTTTGCAGATCAGACCTGCACAACGATCTGGAGTCATTTTGGACCACTCCTCTTCACAAAACTGTTTCAGTGTAGCAATATTATTGGGATGTCTGGTGTGAATCGCTCTCTTAAGGTCATGCCACAGCATTTCAATCGGGTTGAGGTCAGGACTCTGACTGGGCCACTCCAGAAGGCGTATTCTGTGCTGTTGCAGCCATTGTTTTGTTGAATTACTTGTATGCTTTGGGTCATTGTCCTGTTGCATCACCCATCCTCTGCGGAGCTTCAGTTGGCAGACATGGTCGTACATTTTCCTGCAAAATGTCTTGATAAACTCTGGAATTCATTTTCCCATCAATGACAACAATCCGTCCAGGCCCTGAGGCAGCAAAGCAGCCCCAAACCATGATGCTCCTCTCCGCCATGTTTTACAGTGGGGATGAGGTTTTGATGTTGGTGTGCTGTGCCTTTTTTTCTCCACACATAGTGTTGTGTGTTCTTCCCAAACAACTCAATCTTGGTTTCATCTGTCCACAGTATATTTTGCCAGTAGTGCTGTGGAACATCCAGGTGCTCTTTTGCAAACTTCAAACGTGCTGCAATCTTCTTTTTGGACAGCAATGGCTTTCCTCCGTGGTGTCCTCCCATGTACTCCATTCTTGTTTTAATGTTTTCCTTATTGTAGATGTGTCAACAAAAATGTTAGCATGTGCCAGAGATTTCTGTAGGTCTTTAGCTGACATTCTGGGATTCTTCTTTACCTCATGCAGCATTCTGCGCTGTGCTCTTGCAGTCATTTTTACAGGACAACCATGCCTAGGGAGAGTAGCAACAGTGCTAAACTTTCCCCATTTGTAGACAGTCTGTCTTACCGTGGACACATGAACATCAAGGCTTTTGGAGATACTTTTGTAACCCTTTCCAGCTTCATGCAAGTCAACAATTCTTGATCATAGGTCTTCTGAGAGCTCTTTTCTGCGAGGCATGGTTCACATCAGACAGTGCTTCTTGAAACCAGTAAACCCAAAACAGGTGTGTGTTTTTTAAGGGCAGGACAGCTGTCAGCAACACATCCAATATCATCACACTGATTAGAGTCAAGGTTGGCTCACTCCTGGCTCCAATTAGCTATGGGAGAAGTCATTAAGCTAGGGCCTCACATACTTTTTCCTCCCTGCACTGTGAATGTTTACATGTTATGTGCAAATAAACCATGGCAACATCTAATGTTTGTGTAGTATTATGTTCTGCAGACTGTGTTCTTCTATTGTTGTGACTTAGATGACGTTCAGAGCACATTTTATGCCCAATTCATGCAAAACTCCACGTAATCCCAAGGGGTTCACATACTTTTTCTTGCAACTGTATATATGTGTGTGTGTGTGTGTGTGTGTGTGTAAATATATATATGTGTGTGTGTGTGTGTGTGTAAATATATATATGTGTGTATGTGTGTGTGTGTAAATATATATGTGTGTGTGTGTGTAATATATATATATATATTATATATATGTATGTGTGTGTGTGTGTGTAAATATGTGTGTGTGTGTGTGTGTGTGTGTGTGTGTGTGTGTGTGTGTGTGTGTGTGTGTGTGTGTGTGTAAATATATGTGTGTGTGTGTAAATATATATATATGTGTGTGTGTGTGTTTTGTAAATATATATATATATATATATATTATATATATGTGTATGTATATATATGTGTGTGTGTGTGTAAATATATGTGTGTGTGTGTGTGTGTGTGTGTGTAAATATATATATATGTGTGTGTGTGTGTGTGTAAATACAGTCAGGTCCATAAATATTGGGACATCAACACAATTCTAACATTTTTGGCTCTATACACCACCACAATGGATTTGAAATGAAACAAACAAGATGTGCTTTAACTGCAGACTGTCCGCTTTAATGTGAGGGTATTTACATCCAAATCAGGTGAACGGTGTAGGAATTACAACAGTTTGCATATGTGCCTCCAACTTGTTAATGGACCAAAAGTAATGGGACAGAATAATAATCATAAATCAAAACTTTCACTTTTTAATACTTGGTTGCAAATCCTT